GGTGATTTTTCTTTGCATTTGGATTTATTTATCCTTCAGCAACTGACTTGAGCAACAGCTAGGTAAGAGCTTGCTTGCCTCTTATACGTGGCTCTACCAATACATCACAATGATTACTTGAAATTCCCTGCAGCCACCAGTGAAAGACTGCCAGAGGTTCACAGTTGTAACACAAAGATGCCACAGCAGAAAACGCAGTTACAGGATCATTCACTTGTAAGTAACAGCTCTGTGACAGCAAACAACTAATGTCACTAGCACTCAGGTCTCCCTTTACCAATTGTCCAGAATCCAGACTGCCATGAATCGATTACTATTAGCCTCGGTAGATTTGAGGTATGAGTAAGCTCCTTCCCCTTCATCTGTCTTGCTTTTTCCTTACATGACAATGCACTCAAACTTTCTGGCTGAAGACTTTTCAGTCTTACCTTTGGTCTTTGGCTGACAGGAGTCAATTTCACACTTTCTGACATGGCACTTAGGGGTGAACAAGGTTTGCTAGAGTCTCCTACAGACCTGTAGACATTCAAAATGAGATTGAAAAAATGAAACATGGAAGTGACTACTAGAATCACATCTCAGATCCTTAAGACCCCTCATCAATAGTCTTCAACAACCCATGTCACCTGTCTTATGTCACATTGCAGGTATTTTAAATACAAACAATGATAGTTGTGAAAAAGCTGTTGGACCTTTGTCCCATTTCCACAGAGTTGAGTGTGATGAAGTCAGAGAAAGTCCGTGAAGCCAAAGAAAAACATGGCAATTTTTCCATTGTGTTCAAGTTCTGCTGCATGGGTAATCAAGATACTATAAAAATGAAATAGTAAAGGGTTAACTTTTACCTTCTTATACTGGTCATACTGGCAGGGGAAACGCTATCTTCTTTGGAGCTGTCCATAGCAACTGCCATGGGAATAGACACTTCAACTGTCCTCCTTGCATTTTCTAGGCAATAAATAATAGCTTGATTCTGATGAGAACACAGCAACATTGCACAACATTCATTTCATTTTCCCATTTTTTGAGGGGCATCACATAACTCTTCAAAATTGCATAGAGTATACAGAGCAGACATAAACCATGAGGCTGAAAGCCTAGCCAACCCCATACCCAACCTCTGAAAATAACAGATATTGAAAGCAGTACTCAGAACAACCATGGACAATGTGCATAGATATAGAATGATTCTTCCATGGATAAACCCTCTGGCTTTTGGCAGTAAGAGCCTTAGAGACTTCCAGCTTCTCTACTTTGTTCCTTTAAGATTTTACTTTTCACGCTGAATTTATGTTACAACAGCCATAGAAGTGCTAAAAGTGTTATGACCCCACTGCATGAGTCATTGCATATGCACCTGCGCACATATGCGCACACACGCGCCGTCTCGCCTACCCCTCGTTCCTCTCCCCCTCAAGTCCTTCCCTTTATACATCCTCTGTGGTTTAGGAAGGGGGAAAGGGTGGGCATCCTAGACAGAGCATGTGTACATGCTCACGTGCAGTTCTGCCTGTAATTGCAATAACTCCATGAAAAGATAAAGCAGCCTGCTGGAGAGTATTTTTGTTTATAGTTACACATGGCAGCTAATCTACGAATCTTGAATCAGCAAGAATACTCCCTTCACTAACTTATCTCTTCAGATGACTGGAAGCTTCAGTTATTTATTTCTATAAGCACTAGCAGTAACTCAGCAAGGTAGTCTGATGGGACGAACACCCAAAAGACCAAAAACTAAAATGTGGTTGAGAACTGGATAACCGCTCTACCGTGATTTTTAGAAGCCTGATGTAAATACTTAGTCTTTTTATAAAAGATTCTCAGCAGAGAGGACTGATTAAAAAGCCTAGTTCTGCCCATCAGTGACTGCGTAGCAGAACTGTTCCATGGACAAGGACATAGCAAAGAACAGATTTACCACGAAGCATGATATTTGCAGCAGACTAATTACTAAGAAACTAACTTTAGGAGAAGTTTAGCTGATATGTTTTTAGCCCTGCGAAGTAAGGAGTGTTTGTACCACACAGTCAGTAACAGCAAGTGTACTGCTGACCACAACCGCTGATCCAATCAGATGACAGAGAACTCCCAAAAGGGGAAAAACATTGTCTTACTATTTTTTGTTTTTCCTGAAGCTGGGTACTTACCAGTATAATTTAGGGATGGGGGCAGAACAGGAGATATCATTGGAGGGACCATATCAGCAGCAGCTAATTTCTGCTGGTCTATTAGCTGCAACAGTTTATCACGTGCTTCTGTACTCTGACGATTCAGCTCTGCTATTCTTTCCTCCAAGCTCTTCGATACTACGAGATGAGTCTACTTGGATAATTGGATAACAACTTCCAATTAAAAACTTACAATTTGCACTTTCAGGGAGAGCATGCAATATATTTCAAGCACTTCTATGCATTTAGTTTTCAAACTGAAAGTAAATATAATTATATAGCACCTCCTGTGGAAAATCTGATTTTGTCCCTTTCACTGTCCTGTATCTAGCTCCTTAATTGACTAAACACAACAATATTTTAAATTGGTCTTCCTACAAATAGGAAAAAACAGCTATTGTCTGTATCATTAGAAAAAAAAGAAGAAGAAAAGAAAACCCCCAACCATCCAGCAATTAACTATAATTAAGAAAATATTTAATCAGAGAGACACATATTCAGATAGTGCAGGGAAGGAAAAGCAGATTTTTAGTAGAAGTATCCTGCAACTCATCTTTAAACCAGGTTTTCATCCACTTTGACCCCTTCCCCTCCAGTAATTGCTTCCACAAAAACAACACTTAAAAAGTTTGCATCATCTTCTACAACTAAATGACTAAACATTACACAACATAATACAATGTGGAAAGCAACAACACTCTCAGCCTATATTTACATAAGGAAATTTAAAATCTTTAGGATCCTTAATTGAATAGTAATTCAGCCACTGCGATGGAACAAAAGTAAAGACAGCAGCAAGGGCAGGGATTAGGCACTTCTGTGATGTTAACTCCACTCACTGGGGTGCAACTGAATAGCAGCTTAGTTGCAGATTAAAGGTTTTCTATGTGAACTGAATTCAAGTTCTCTCCTTCCCAAAGATTTTGGGATTTTCACCACACAGCAGGACAGACAAGACAGATCCAGCTAGTACGTACACTATAATTAAGTATTTGCAAGAGATGTACTTGCACCAACTTTAATCTCACGGACTTTTGGGTCACAGTAGCAGAAGAGATGTATGGCATGGATTTAAATATGTATTTTACAAGCTTGATGAGAACCTGTGCGTTGGTGCAGTGCTTTCGCTGTTAATATTATCCAAGCTACAAGAGGTATACCTGATCATGTTGCAATCACACCTCTTTTTGCAGCATAACCTTATCCTAAACTTATGAATGTGCTGCACACTTTTCAGCACTCATATACAACATAGGCCTAATAGGAGAAACTAGTGTTGAGCTCCTTAGGGAATGATAAAAAAAAATTGCAAGTCTCCAAGCAAATGAATGAAAAGAATATTTGTTTTGCTACTCTTTTCCTTAAAACAACTGACAACAGGAAAGAAACAATCTTAAAGCATCAGTAAGCTATGGAAAAGCAGATCAGCCTTCCTTTTCTGTTAAATTCTCACCTGTCCTTGTGAAGAGTCTGGACTAGAATTTGCATTTCGTATTGGGTCTGGCTGATGTAGGCAGTCACTTGTGTCTTCAGAGAAGCCTCTGAATTTGCTCAGCTGAGCTTTAATCAGAGAATTCTGCCGTGTGAGCTCAGCTATCTGTCCCAGCAGGTCACTGTTTTGAAATAACTCTTCCGCGGTGCTGTTTTTTCTGGTATCACCTGGGCAGGACAGACCGATTTTCTCGTGGCAACTCTCCAAGTCTTTGTCTGCAGGAGGAATTGGTTGCCTTCGAGAGATGAGACAGTTTTCCTCAGTTGTGCTCTGTGTTCTCAGGGAGGAAGGTGAGATCCTTTCCTTGCATGGTTCTCTTTCGGTGTTTTCAGAAGACTGAGAAATGGCTGTAAATACTACAAACAAGAAATAAAGGAACAGTAAGGAAAGAGACATGTGATCATCATCAAGGAAACTTACAGTGACTTTATTCCATCAGGCTAGCAATAATCAATCAGGAACTTGAATTGTAACATCTAGCCTGAGTGGTGTTATGTTACTGATCAAAATCACTCTATGCAAGATCCTGCTGCAAGAACTCACGAGATTTAATATTTCCTATTGCAAATAGTCTTACATTTACATGATTTAATTAGAGATTGAGAGAGAAGTCAGAGAGAAGAAGATAAATTGTTTTGAATTTCTTAGCTGATAGATCAAACACTACTTCTTAGTTAGTCCTCCATTTTCCAACATCCAGCTACCTTACCTAATAAACTGTAAGTTTGCATTTTAGTTCTGATATTTATACCTATTTCCTATTGCAAATAGTCTTACATTTACATGATTTAATTAGAGATTGAGAGAGAAGTCAGAGAGAAGAAGATAAATTGTTTTGAATTTCTTAGCTGATAGATCAAACACTACTTCTTAGTTAGTCCTCCATTTTCCAACATCCAGCTACCTTACCTAATAAACTGTAAGTTTGCATTTTAGTTCTGATATTTATACCGGGTTGGTAACAAAACTTTTAGAATAATAAAACAAAATAATACAAGACTTTTGGCATAAGAATAAACTAGCTATTTACTCAGCCCCTAAGGGGAAGCCCTCTAGCCAACAAAAGTAGTTAGGTACTTTTTGTGGTCATTGTAGCAAACTGGTAACACACCACACACATGACCAAATATGTTATAACATGTAGCAGCTGACAGTGCTAAGTCCAAGTTGGATTTTGTGATCAAAACCAGATTTTCCATGCTTTATATACCAAATAGCCCATTCCTTCCCAAGCTTTAGCTTTTGTCTGTTGAGCAGAGCATGACATTTAAAAATTTACACACAAATCTGTTTTATGAATATTTTTTCATAAAGAAACGTTCAAGAAGTTTAACATTTGTTGAGCCATTTAGCATCCTTAACAGTCTTAAAAGAGTAACAATGTATTTCTCACACTGCTAAACTATAGTGAAGTCTAGGAATACAGTTTTATATTCTTGTTTTAATTGACAGGCAACATCTGACAGTACTCAATGGAACTGAAACCAGATGTTGTTCTTCGCAGAAAGCTACCTTTAGTTCACTTCCTCCTGATTTATTACGTGCCTCCTTGCAGCATAGGTGACCACCAAAAGCTTGAACTAGATATAAACTTTCAATTGTCCTGCCGACTCCTTAAATCAAAAGGACTTTTGGGTT